CGTGTTTCTGTGTTTTATTCTCGACGGGAGGGAGTTTTGTCTCAGAGTGTTGTTGGGTTTGAGGTGCATCAAGAGGTTGAAATCCCTCAAAGTTTCTAAGACACTCAAGCCACGGACGGAATGACAATGTTCTCGTCACTTCTCTTACTCTCTGCTCCTCTTCTCTCCCTTTTTTAGATCCACTTTTTTATTATATATTTTTACTGGCTTGACATAGACATGGAGGCGTTGTGTATTCATGAGACTTTCAAACAGCAGCAAGTGAAGTGAACTTTCAGAACTCCCAACTTTTAACAGGGATAGACTGGTCATGTTGAAAGTTATGTTCTTTCAAATAGTTCTCAGTGGGTAGCAGCTTATAAGCTGTGACATCAGTCACATGTACTAAAAAGAAAAGAGCAAAAAATTTCATCCAGGCTAGGCAAATAGTTAGCCAAAAGTTTATTCAATTCTTGGCAAACAGATGCTTTAAGCAGCAACAGTGTCGCTAACTTAGGGATTTTGTTGCTAAACCTATCAGCAACTCATTTTCAAAAAATGATTAGTGACAAATGTAACAACCTTTTACCCTGATATTATTGGAGACTTTTAGAAACTTGACAAATAAGCACATATTCTTCCACTTTTCAAAAAGCAGCAGGTGCTGCGAGGACCCCTCTCTGTTTAAGGACGGCAAAGACTGTCATGATCTGTATTTATTCTCCTTAGTTTTCCTAGTGTTTTCTATGTTCCCCAGTGTGTCCTTGCCCAGCTGCTCCTTGTCAGTCTGATTGTCACCCTTGTGTTTCTCCTCAGGTGTTTTCTGTTTAGTCATTAGTTTTCTGTGTATTTAAACCCTGTCCTGTCTCAGTCTTTTGTTGGATCATTGTGTTGTGTTCTGTCTACCTGGTCGTGTCCTGCTCCATGTTCTTTGTTCAAGTGAGTTTTGCTGTATTATCAGCCCTTTTTGTGTTCATCATTAAAGGCCTTGTGCTTTTTGATTTTTGAAACCTGCCTGTGCCCTGGGTTATTAAGTCAATCCTGACAAAGACTAGTTCATCCCAAAGATCTGGTCCCCTGGCACCAACAGAGTAATGCTGCGTATGCTGTTAAGTGCCAGGAGGACTGTAACTGTTATTGCAATACATCTGGGGGGAAACACAGTCGCAATTCAAAAAGAGTGGGCCAACACAGAAGCTCCACATCATCAGGTTAGGACTCTGCAGTTTACACTCATCTACAGGCCAACGGTCACCCTTTCAGGGATGAAGATGTTCTCATCCTTGATAGAGAGGAACGTTGGTTTGAGGGAGGAGTAAAGGAAGCAATTTTTAAAAGAAATAATGTCCGTCGTCAAACAGGGGTAGAGGCCTCAATGCCCAATTGTCCCCCCTCTTATAATGCTGTTATTGTAAGTATGACTCAGCCCCTTGTGAACAATAGGTGATCAGAGCCCTAACAATCTAGTGTTCGGATGATGGTCCTGTTTTGCATATGAAAAGAAAAACAGTTTTGATTGCCATCATTAAACCTGTTTGTCCACCACATGGAGGCACTGCTTATAAGGCAAACTTTACCTGAAAATATTCAGACTAAAGAAGTCTCTTGGAGGAGAGACAAAACATTTCTTCAACAAAGAAGAACCTGTCCAGAGGACCTAATTAACTTTTTTTTAAAACAGAGAGGTGCAAACGTGTAGAGGTATAACTCTAGCTTTTACAGCATTCCTTTGTTTTTGGGAAAGGCTTAACAATGAAAGATGGACTCTCGTTTGGCTATACTGAAGACTTGTGCTCTTTTCTTCATCGTGGCTACAGGTCAGATGTACAGCTGCAGGCTGATAAGTTACTAATTACTGAGAACTATTTGACAAAAAAACAATCCCTTCAAAACTGACCAGACCATCACTTTAAATATAAGAAGGTAAACTTATCAAGTAGAAGAGAGACTGATTTATCCTTGCTTTTCTGTCAGTCATCCTTCACTACAGGGATGGCAGCTTAAAATGTGTCTGAAATAGGTTTTAGGTGAAGAAAGTTCAATTAAAGTTTGCAGCAACCAAGTAGTCACAGCTAGCTAAGCTGACCAGGATCAATTGGCAACACTCCTCGCAGTGTTTGACCAGCGCTTCAGATGTCCACTTATGGAATGATTGACATTCACACAACATTTTCCCTCCTAAAGCTGGCCTTGAGCAAACCAGTGGAGCAGCTCCTTTGTGAATCAAACAGCTGTAGCAGTGTGCAGACATGAGAAGAAAGCCTGTCTTCTGTCGTCTGGCTCTGGTTCTGGACAACAGAGGTCTTCAGATGCTTCAAAGGGATTGTCAGTTCACTTGAGGAAAGAGGATGTAGACAGGCTTGTATCTGAGGGAGTGGATTGGAAGAGCTTATTATTTGGCTTTTTCTTTCAGACTTTACTCTCACTGAATTGTGTCGGCTTTTTTTTTCTTTGAACCTTTGATTATAATTTGAACATAAGTTTGAGTTGTTTTGGTAAAATATATTTTTAAGCAAAATTTGAGCAGCTTTTAATGCAAGTGCTGTTCTTTATTTCCAATTTGGGATTTGTGGGTGTCACTAACACAGAAGTAAAGAAAAAAATTTCCGATTTTACCTATTTATAGAATTTTTTTTATGTATTTACAAATATATATGTATATGTGTATATGTATATGTATATATGTGTATACATATATACATATAAACATATGTGTATATATGTGTATATGTATATATATGTATGTATATATGTATAC